TTTAAGCATGTTGTTTAAACAAGTGAAAAGCAGTGGCAAATACTTTATATACAACTTAATTTTCATTTACCTAAGATCATATCGCTTATTATGACAAAGATAATATCACTTGCTGTAACAACAGATATCCTTCTCCAGATTGTGTTTTAAAGGACATCTTGTTTCAGTTTTTAAAAATTAAAAATATTCACATGCTTGTTCAGTTTTTGTTGTTACACATTCAAGTATGTCCTTCATATTTGGCATTTTGATTTATTAAGCAATCTTAGCATTAAAGGCTTTTAGCAAAGCAGTACTAGATTTCAGCTGCACTGTGCATGGTGTCCATGATGAATTAATTCCACCAGAGCACAAAAGTTATCATTATTTAAATGCTAGTTTCTTTCAGAAGTTTTACATCACAGTCAAGTTTTCAAAATCAGAACTTAGCTCACATTTTGAGGTAAATGTATGTGATTTCCTGTTACATGTATAGCTTTTCTTCATTCTTAACCCTTTCTTGTGTGAATCTGCATAGAAATATTTAATAATATTTAATATTGATAAAATGATTAAAGAATGTATGATTACTTTTTAATCTTATGGTTTACTGTTCTTTAAACGTCATATTCAGAATCTTTGGGATTTAATGTATTTATTTGGTTACATAAATTAGATACTGAAAGATATCAGATACTGGAAGTAAGATGTCTTTTAATTTCACTCTCAATAATTTTGTTTAAAAAAAGTTCACATAAATAAATACTTACAAACTTTTTTTCTAGTACTGTTATTTATTCTTATTTTTGTAGGAAGCCATTTTTTTGTCCATTTATTTTGATTAAATGGTAAGATGCCAAAAAAGCGAGGTTAACTAATAATAAAGCACCAAGATTATAGGATGGAATGTTTGTATGTGGATAGGTGAATGTGGTGGGAAGTAGAGGTTATTTTTCCCTTTTCACCATCCTTGGCATATATAGTTATATCTGTCCATCATCCATCTCTCCGTGTTTGTACAGACATGCACATACATAGACATACACACAAAAGTGGGTAGGCGGTAGAAGAAGAAGGAAGGGAGAGAGGCAGGGCAGATGAGAGAGAGGGAGAGAGAAAAGATGAGAGAAGACCAGAGAGAAAAAGAGGTTGAATGAGCAACAAGAACCAGTAGTGTCCCTGGTGGTGGTTGAGATAACACAGCTAACTGTACTAGCCCAGGTCGAGTTTCAAACTTGTCAACATTGCGGTGAACATGGAAGAGGGTATATGCAGGTTTCTGTTATTGCACCGTCAAATGTCTATCTCACATGGTACCGTTTTATACCAAAAGAACCCATAACTCTAAGAGGAAAAAATAAAACCAACAAGTCTAGCATTCAGGACTACCCTATCATAAAGTAAGGAGGTCTAATTGAGCTATGTCTTTATATCCTGCTATTTGTACAAATAAAAGACTACATCTCGATGCAAAATAAACACAAAAGCACTGTTGTGACTATAACAGGGAGTCATATACTAATTTATATAATAAGTGGTTGTGCACGCTTTATTCAAGATTATGGCTGCAAGAAATGGCATGAATTGCTGGGTGTGTTTAATGCTGGATTATAGCAATTTGAAACATGTCAAACACATGGCTAATGCCTCATGCTTCACTCATTCTTGCGTAAACCTGCATAGCCACTATCCATTATACCCTTGGTAACAACACAATTCTGCAAGTAAATATTGTTACACTAAGTAACCTTTCAATTCAAGTTGTTTAGGAAGAGAAAATGCAATCTTGTGCAGTCAGTTCCAGTGTCAGTTTAATGTTTCAAAAGGGAAGTGGTGTAGAGAATAAGTATCTGTACAGTGACTTGCTTAAAAAAAAATAAAGGAAGAAAGAAAAAGGAAAGAAAGGAAAACTTAATGCAGGGGAGAAAAGTAGAACTGTTTTTATCATTTGCGTGCAAGATTGGAAGAGTTATTTTCTGATGTGGCTGAAAAGTTGTACATGATGAAAGATTTAAAGGTTTAACTGATTGTTCAGACAAACATTAAAACAGCGACTCCCAACTTCACCTTTCCCTTTAATGATCTGGAAATTATTTTCACTGATTTTTGTAAAATGTTTGTGATAGGATTGAGAAGAATGAATAATTTAGTTTGATATGTTTGGGATCACAAGCACATCCTCTTTGAAAGAATATGCTGAATTTGTAATTATTTAAAATATACTTTAAAAGATAAACAGCACCTCACATTGTACTGGAAATATTTCCTCTAGTGGAAAATAGGTGTAGAGGTGTCACTAGGAGAAACTGAGTAAATACTGGAAATCATCTTCATTATCCTTGAAGATATGTCACCTTTATAGTGGACATACTCCAAGCTTTCTTCTCTAGGTGAAATGTACATTATAATCATCTAATCACACAGTTGCCCTTCTTTTGGCATATTAATCTTGGGTCAGAAGCCTGTGTTTTGTAGAGAAAAAAGTACTATCACTGTTACTGTTTTTCCTAAGCATGATTTTACTAACTCTTAGATGATTGAACTTAAAATGTAAATCACAGTTTATACTCTAGGGTTTTATAAAGTCAAAAATTCCACAAGGGATAATAAAACCCTGTTTAATAGAAATTGGAAGTTATGTAGGTCTTTCTTCATAATTGTAATAAAGATTTAGACACATGACTCTCTGCTTGTTGTTGGCTATTCTTAATTATTTGATGGCTTTGATTATAACAGTAGTACATACAGAATTCTTTAATTCATTCAATTGGTCCTGACATTAACTACCCGAAGGTTAGTATTAAATACTGCACCTGTCTGCTAGATTTGAAAATACAGTTATTCTAAGTTTTATTCTTTGTGTTTCAGACTCTACCCAGAGAAAATGAGTATTTCAAGTAGATTTGGATGACGAAATAAAAACACACACTATACTTATATACTCCAGATGTTTTGTCAAAAGTAAAATTTAAATGCAATATATAGAAGTTAAGTCTGTCTGTTTTTACAGTTGGAGAGGACTCAAATTATAATTTTTATATAACTAGTAAAGGCAATCAGACCTTTTCTCTGAATATTTTAAACATTGTGCATGTAAAATTTATGCCTAATTTGAATACTTATTAGCTGCCTAATCTCAGAAAAGAGTATTAGCTTTGTTTTTTTCTTATAAAATCCATCAATGTGTATCAGTTTTCATTTGTATGATTTTCCTTTGTTAATGCTCAGTAAGATGTTTAACAAAGCCTATTTGTTCATAAACACATTTGGTTCAAAAGTTGTTTACTATAGTTACAGCAGTCACTTCTTTTATGATTGTGGGATATGATTATGGGATTTTTTTTTTATCAGAACAGCTTTCAGTTGCGTATGTAGTTTTTGTTATAAGGGTGCTTTGCTGGCCCAGCTACTGATGGTCTTTTATAAATCAGCCGGTCATTTTTTTTTAATTGATTTTTCAGAGTCATAGAAATAATCTGATAATTTAGGTTTTGATGAAAATACCTTTTAAAACTATTAGGCCACCACCATTAGTTTCAATAATTATGATATTAGTATGCAAAAAAATCTCTGTTGGATATGTATCTGTGTTTGTGTGTCTCTCTGTGTGTATGTCCATGGTCACATTTTGTAAGAATCTGGGGAAGAGGGTTTGTCTATGGCATGAAAAAGATGTTAAGCTTACATTCGCTTTTAAATGGACAAAGTCTTAAAATACGACTGAATTTAAAACAGTGATATCATATAGTAACCAAAAAAGAAAAATAGATTGGTAAGTTTAACATCCTTCTTTACTTCAGGCTGAGTCCACTGTCTGTCTAGCATTACTGTTAAAGTCACAGCACAGCCAGGTTGTTTCTGAAATTCTGTCCGTAGAAGTAAAACAGAGAAGTGCATCCATTAGGTTATGGTGTAGGATTCAGATATCTCTGAGAGCCAAAACTGATCTTCCTAAACCACAGATTCAAGATGTACTGTGAATTTCTGGTTTGTAAGAGCACATTGGTTCTTTATTTACCGCAAGGATTTCCACTGATCTTGGCAGGACATCTCATTGCTATCCTGAAAGTACAGTATATTTATGCAGTGAAAATGATAAAACATTTATTACTGTAGAGAAGGTAATATGCATAATTTATGCTGTTTTTAGCACAATCATTAGTGATATTCTTGATAGATTTTATTTCCAGCTTTCATATCTAATACATGCCTGGAAAATTAATTTTATATCTTTCATTTATTTGCCTATGTTAAAATTGAGTTTTAAGTCATCTTCAAGTGAACAGTTTGATTGCTGCTCATGCATAAGCTTAATTACTTCCCAGGAAGGACAGTATTAAATGTTTTAAATGTCAGAAAAATAAATGAATATGAGCTGTTTGATTAAAAAAATAGGCAATATCTGACGTGTTTGCAGCAGGAGCTTTTTCTTAAAATGCCTCCAAGGCAAAATTTTATTTAGTCACAAAAAAAGAAACCCATTATACTATTTATCATTGGTTGATACCATATGATTTGTAACACCCTTACAAAATTTTAATTTTGTATGATTAGCTGTGCATCATTAAACAACAGCCTTGCATAAGATGTGCTGTAAAATTCTGACAGAATCAAGATAGTGAATATTTAAACTAAGGCTGTATAGTCATCCATGGTTGTCAAAGGTAGATAATAGGAAACATAGAACAGAGTGTGCAATCGTGCCTTCATTTAAACTGGTTTTATAGGTAGACTTTAAAATGTGGTTGTTCATAAATGCTATTGACCATGCTATAGGCATGGTATGTTACTTTGGCTGTTAAATGTAACCACACAAAAATTGCTTATAGAAACCATAATTTCAGTGATTAGTATCTAGATGAGAGCTGAATTTGTATTGCTTTTCTTGGTAAATGACTATTCAAGGCTTTTTTTTCCCCCTTCTAAAGATGCTGTCTCTGTAATTGGCAGAGAGGGACATCTTGATAATGGAAGTGTGAAGGTGTAGCGCGTGTTAATTGATACTTCTTAATCACTTTTAGGTATTAAGTCATGATGCAGGAATCTGCGACAGAGACAATAAGCAACAGTTCAATGAATCAAAATGGAATGAGCACTCTAAGCAGCCAATTAGACGCTGGCAGCAGAGATGGAAGATCAAGTGGTGACACCAGCTCTGAAGTAAGCACAGTGGAACTGCTACATCTGCAACAACAGCAGGTAAGTTTTGTTTTCCTCGGTGATTCCTTAAAACAAAGCAGCCTGCTTTCTTGAATAGGAAAAAAATGTATGCCTAGTGAGCTGAGCATGTTGTGGGAAGCTAAAGGGTGCTGAGCGTTTATTGTTATTTGGAACGTGATTCAAGTGTAAGTAAAGGTAGGGTTTTCCTGTCAGTTACGTCATACCAGCGCCAGAGTGCCCTTCAGGTGTCAGGCTATTAATTAAGTTCACAGGGTGATTTTCGTAAGGTTCTGTAAAGCTTTGTAACAAACATTTTATAGCTTCTGGTTTACTGTCTAACAATGTGCTGCAGAACATGGTACTTCGTTTTCCACCAGAGGGCCACATTACTTGATACTTGCTTATACAATGAATTTCTTCCAGGTCTGAGCTAAGGTGAAAAGGACCACAAGGACTTTTCACAACACAGACAGTAGCCTGTGATAGCTGCAAATATTAGCTATTAATTAGTTGAAATTTGCCACGAGATTGTGGGCCATGTAAACACGATCATTATGTATGTTGCTCTTCTTGAAGACTCATTTCAAGGTATTTTGAATGTGCATCTTTTGATAACAGTAAAGAGCACTTTTTGTTTCCTGCCAGTGTCTCGTAAAATGCAGTTGTTCTCTTTACATCTAGAAAAGTAAACAACTGCCCAGGAAAGGTGCACTTTAAGTAGTCCATTATTCTTTTTATATGACAGATTCATTTTTCCCAATTTTTCCCAATTTTGTTTGTCAATGAAATATTCTTTTCAGCCAAAGAATAGCCACTCAGTTCTTCACTGGTTCAAGTCTGCGGAAACAGTGACAGAGAACAGACAGCTTTCAAAGCATATACTTACATTAGGCCAGAATGAGTACATCTTTTTGAAAATGAGATTATACTTGTTTTAAAATAAAGGCTATTTCTTTCAAGCTCTAGATTGCATTCAGACTAAACATAAAAAATCATTGAAATGAAAATATAATGACGTATTATTGAAAATTGTTTCAAATTAAGTGATATATCCTTGACATTTTAAGTTAGTATGTAATGAGAGAGAATGTGTTTCAGAAGTTAAAACAAATGCCCAAAATAGAGTAAAATTTAATAGAATCTTTATTTTAAATAACAGCCTTTAGAAACTTATCTCAGAGTATATGTACTGAATAATGGCTTAACATTTAGGCATTGTTTTCAAGAATAATCTTTTAAAAGAGCTAGACATAACACTTTTAGTAAGTTCCCTATTATTATGAAGTATGTCTCTCTTAATAGACGGTTATCATTAGGAAGATAATTTTTATTTTGTTTTGAAATATTTTGTTTTCGCCATCATAGGATTTATAAATGCCTACCGAAGTTGCAGGATTAGCCTATTTTACAGATTACTTTAAATAAATGCAGTTTTAGGATAGCCCTTTTCTCCCTTCAGTGTATTTATAGGAAATACCAGACCAGTGGAATGCTATCATATTCCAACTGACTCCCCTAAGTCAGAGTCCTAAGAATTTATAGCCAGATTCTCTTTTGTCTGAGAATACATTTGACTGCATTTATAAAGGCAAAGGAAAATAACAACTGGAAATAAACACGGCAGTTTAGAGAACAGGTTCTGAAAGGAAATGCAAAGAAGTAACTTTCTTTTTCTCGAAGTTCTGATTAGATCTTAAATAAAAAGAAAACAGAGTAAAATCGTAGCTACACTTTACAGTACTCTAAAGGCATTTTGTGATAAGGTCTGTAAGGTGTGTTTATAACCTGATTTGAAGTATACTTTGTTCTATGCAGTTTGTTTGTATAAACCTTAAACAAGAGTAAATACAAAAAGTTGCATCCTTCAGATAACTTAGGAAGTTCAGTCACCTCTTGCATGTTTGTGGAGTGCCTTCTAGCAGTGATTTAACACAATGGACATAGGCATCTACAAAAGACACTTCAGGAAGTGTCTACAGGAAGATATGTAATAATTTAATAAATAAACATGCAAAAACCTTTGTAAATGTCTCTTCCCTTGGTTATGTTTTAACTATATTAATATAGTTAGATACTTAAGGTTATTGAATTTTTGTCCTTCCATGAGTGTATTTTCAAATGGGCCTTTAAGTTCATTAAGAATTGGAATGTCCTTTTTATAAAATGAATACAGTTATTGCTTATAATTCTAACATATTCAAAACAGGAAAAAATATATTTCAGAAAAAATACAAACCATGGGGAAATAGTAAAACAAATTCATGAGTAGTGAAATAAATTTGCAAATGTGTGTTTACTTTGTATTGTCTAAATGTACAGTTTTGAACAAGAATTAAATTACTTCTTATAAATATAATGGACTAATCATTGTTGGCTAAGTTCTTTTATTTAGAGATATAATTAGGAGTCAGTAAGTGATGTAAACAAAGTAGGATTTTGTTTGCCATGAGCTTCTGGCAGAATATTGTCTGTTTCGAGAATAAAATGTTTACCTTTATTTTGATGGCTTTTGTATTTTTGTAGAGGTGAGCAGTTTAAA